CAATTAGGTGACAAAAGGCATGTCACATAACAATGAGGGCAAGGTCCTTCCTTTCCCTCTATTAAACTTACTTTGAGACATCAAGTCATACCCAGTGAAGCATCATAACATCCTAGGAAGGTCCTGTATGTGCTCATGAGCACTTTTAATTGCATGTTCCTACTCCCTCAGATTAGCCTTTTGGCAAAATTAACTCATTTCATCTCCAAAGGATATGGAGTAACTATGATCCATTGTTGAGCAAAAGGGATGAAAATCAGCTGCCAATTGCAATCAGGGAGAAGGTTCAGGGCTATTCCACAACGCTAGGAATGGCACCAGAAAGTCTACCATCTTTACCCAGGTCAAGGCAGCTAGATGTACAAGATTCCTAAGCAGGGGTCTTTAAGCCTTTAATGCCTCCTGACCCCACTCCTGCCACAGAAGGGTGAAATCTGTTTGTGCACGGTAGGCCCATAGTAACAATCAAATACAATATATTTGAGTGCTAGAGTGGACCTCCATTTAATAAGTACTTACTGAACATATAAATATAAAGAGCAATAAAAACATATTGGTGCAATAGAGTGATGAACCAAGCAGACAAAATTCTATCCTGCAGTCAAGAAACACCTTCACAACCAAGTGCATTTAAGTCATTGTCTAAGACAGATAAATGAGCAGTCTTACAACTTAAACTTTGGAATTATAGAACTCCTTTGTTTCCTATATAATTATTAATGTTCCCAGAAAATCTAAGCCTACTCCAGAGCTGGTTATAAGTTTCATAATTTCTGCTCTACCAATTTTCCTTCTCTCTTTAAGCAACAAGTCCAAAAGTGATTAGCCAGAATTCATAGCCTAACTTGCCAGTTCAATACTACTTCATGACTCCTTCTTTACTGCAGTCAAAAAGCTCTTTGCAATTTAGTCAAACCAGACATTACTGGCTGGTCCCTATGCTTAAGAAGGAGTCCTGGTGTGGCGCTGTGGGCTAATACGCTGGATTGCAAAGTTGGTTTGAACTGCAAGGTTGGTGGTTCAAACTCACCAGCCACTCCTTGGAAACCCTCTTCAGGGTCACTATGGGTCAGAACTGACTCAACAGCACTTAACAATAACAATGCTTAAGAACTCCCTTTAGTAGCCCATTCTTTTCTCTTATTCACCAATCTCCCTAAAGAGCATAGGCTACTTTCTTACAGAGTGAGACACAAAGTTTAACTCTACTTTCTTTATTTCAACATTTCCAGACTGGTTGGTTACATTTGGGGCTGCCATATGGGAGTATTTCCCACAAGATGTCAGGTAGGATAGATTCTAGAGTAGGTATGAATTGCTTGAGGTTGGGGTTGGTTATCACAAAATACATATTCAATAAATCAGGACTGAGATCACTGAAAGGGAAGATCAAAGAAATGCTTGGACAATGAGAGCACTAAGGAGAATTAAAGTTGCAAAAAAGATGAAAAATGGACATTTGGGTATAAAATTCTATTCCTTGTTGTTAACTGCCATTGAGTTGGTTCTGTCTCATAGCGACCCTGTATAGGGTTTCTGAGGAACAGCTGGTGAGCTTGAACTGCCAACCTTGTGGCTCGCACTGTCTTTGCAGTCCAGCCAAAACTCCTTACCAGAATTTTAGAAAAAAATTATTCAGAGAGTGAAATGGAGAAACAAAAATGACTGTCAAACTTCAGTTTTCAGCCTGGTCAATGGCTCTAACTGCTGAAGATTATTGGTAAGGAAAAGTGTGATCCAGCACCAGTCCATACAGAATGCTGTTTCAAAGATACAGGGTAAATGTTGATGACAAAACTACTAAATGTTCTAAATGAGCAGAGTTTGAGGAATGAATAATTCCTTAACTCATTATGATGCGCATATCAGGTTAAAGGTGGAGGGCATGCTTAATCTGGTAATCACGTAAAAAAAAAAAAAAATCTGGATCATTTCTCTGGGAAGAATAAATCCTATTACTCCCAATGTGCCACACTGGGCAGTGCTTAAGAGAATAACTAACCACCTGTACATCCACATTCTCTTGACAATCTCCTCACCACCATCTTTTTTCCCCTTCAGAATAGTGGAATAGTGGAAGGTGATATGATCTAAGAGGTGACATAAAGGAAGAAGTGCCCTGAGCTTTGGAGTTAGATGTAGATTAGAATTATAGTACTAACTACTACATTGCTGCAAACATTCATTTCATCAGTGTTCTGCTTTGATCCGCCCCTGAAAGCTAGTGGGTAGACTTTGGTGAATTTAGAAACAAAAAATACAGAGTAGTCTATTCCCTCTGATGATATTCCTGCTAGCTTTCTAGCACCTGACTCACCTATCATCTTGTCAGATGCTCAAATCTGGTAAGTCTTTTGCTTTCAAAAGTTTCAAATCAAAATTTTCATAGCCACAACCAAGGGCTTTCCCAGAAGGGACTGTTTATAAAGTCTAAGGAAAGCTGAAGTGAGACAACATTTTATTCAGTTTATCTTCTCTTGGGAGCCTTCACCTCAGAGAAGCAACATTGCCCTCTTTACACTTGTTTGTGTTTGATGCATTAAGCCCTTTTATTGTATTAATCACCTTTCACATCTATTTATTTATATGTGGTGGTGGTGGTGGTATGTGCCAGAGTCAATTCTGACTTATAGACACTATATAGAACAGTATTTCCTATAAGACCCTACAGAACTACCCCCAAAAGGATTTCCTAGGCTGTAAATCTAAAGGAGCTCACCCAGTCTTTTCTCATGAATAGCTTTTAGCGGGTTAGAACCACTAACCTTTTGGTTAGCAGCTGAGTGTTTAACCATTGTGCCACCAGGGCTCCTTCATTTATATGTAAATAGTTGTTAGTAGGAATATTTAGAGAATAAGAATTGTGTGCCATACTAAGTCCATCAAGAAATTAGCATGATAATTAATAATTATTTAGGTTCTTGTAGAATCTCAAGATACTATTTCAAAGACTACAGACTAACAAGATATATTAAGCTTTCTGCTTCTCTTGTTGTTGTTGTCAGGTGCCATCGAGTCGGAACCGACTCATAGGGACCCCATGCACAGCAGAAAGAAACAATGTCTGATCCTGGGCCAACCTCACTACCGCTAACACACTTGAGTCCATCAATGATGCCACCTGGCTGATTCATCTCGTTGGGGGTCTTCCTCCTTAGTACCACCAAAATCATCATCTTTGGAAACACGTGAGCCTTACATTTGCAGCTATAATTCAGATGATAAAGTTAAGGCTCAAAAACATTTAAGGATGAACTTCTATTTCATTGATACCACATGACCCACCAGGAAACAGATGGTTCATTTGAAAGAGATAGAGAGCTTAATGAAGGTACCAATTAAAAGGGGCGGGCAGGGTTAAAGGAAACCAAGTCAAGATGATGAAATACCTCAGCAATATCCAGATTTTTCTGCAATGATGAACATGTTCTACATCTATATTGTCTAATACAGTAGCCACATGTGAGCACACAAAATGTACTTAGTATGACTAAGCCACATAGTTAATTTAAATAGAGGCATGTAGATTCATGGCTACTGTATTGAACATTACAGCTCAAGTCTCGCAAAAAACCCTTACTACTCCTGGCCTGAAGGAGATAAAAGAATTATTAGAGCTCAGAGTGTTGTAGCTTTGCAGGATAGCACTGGACTGACAAGCACAAAGTTGGTAGTTTGAGCCCACCAACTGCTCGATGGGAGAAAGATGAGGTTTTCTATTCCCATAAAGATTTACAGTCTCGGAAATCCTTTAACGGGTTGCTATAAGTTGGAACTGACTCCACGGCACTTAACAACAGAGATATAGAGCTATAGCTATGGCTCGTAAGAGAAGTATGATAGAACTTACGGTCTTTGACAAACTGCAGCCACTGTCAACCTGGAGAGTGGCAAGGGAGGAGCTGAGAATACAGACTTACTCTTCTTGTCCTCCTATTTCCCCTAGTATCTTCAACTGGTGGAACTCACCAGAAACTAAGAGAGCTTGTTGGTACACAGTCCATAAAGGTCAGTCTCCTGGGGCTGAGAATGGTAGAGAAAGATGGAGAGTAGATACAGAATAAAATATTTTATGTTGTATAAAATGAGTTGAAGGTTAAAATCTTTGGTTTACCGGTACTTAGGAATCTAAATACATGTGAAACCAGTGGCAAAAAATGGATCAAAAGCATGTTTTCAGAAAGTCCTACAAATGTTTCTTGTTAAAGTTACCCTGGAGTTCTCTGCTGCACTAAATAGTATATGCTATAATTAAACTGCAACTGGACTCCTGGTGTAGCGCTGTAGGATACGCACTGGACTGCTAACCACAAGGTCGGTGATTCAAATCCACCTTGGAAACCCTACTCAGAGTTGCTATGAGTTGGAACTGACTTAACAGCACTTAACAGCACTCATTTCAGGCTTCATACAAAGTTAGTTCAATGCCACGTCTCTTCAACTATATTCACTTTTCATATGTCAACCATATTAGATCTTTCAAGGATGTGTGCAACTATTTCCAAGGTACCAACTCAATTTACAAATCCTGAGATAGAAAAAACTTATATTTGATTTAGGCTAAAGGTCATATTGGAATCCTGGTGTGACACAGTAGGATGACTACTGGACTGCAAGGTCAGTAGTTCAAAACCACCAGCCACTCCTTGGAAACACTATACAGGGTCACTATGAGTTGGAACTGACTCGACTGCACTAAACAAACTAACCAAAGGCCATAACTAAAATAATGGATAAACTTCAGCTGGAAATGGGAAATCAATAAACTAGGCCTATGAATCCAAGTCTACTACTCTAGGATTATATGACCAATTCCTACTCTAGGGCTATATGGCCACTGTCTTTCTTTCCTTTTTTTTAACTGTTGACTATTGATATATGTTTTAAAATGAGTAGTAAGCTAAAGGAAAACAGGGTAATATCTACAGGCTGGGTCAAATGCTATTTATGAAAACCTTTATTGTCTTTAATGGGTTCTGAATATATCAAGGATCTAGTGCTTACTGCTCAGTACTTAAGGAAGAAAGGTCTAATGTCAATGTGTAGGGGTTGAAGTATGTACCAAAGGAAAAGCAATTTCCACCACCTCCAAGGAGCAGGAGTTGTTTCTCTTCAGGAAGGAGGATGCTGCTATGGTTATGAAGCATTAATGGCCGTGGCACACAAGTTGTGTCAATCTCATACTCAGAGCTCAGTCCTATATTCAGATCAACAACAGTTACTCCAGGAACTGATGAAGAATGAATCCATACCCCTCCAACCAGTAGAAGCTTCCCATTGAAAACATGAGCTGTGTGAGAGTACCTTGGGGTAATAGGAGGCTGGATGTCCATTGATTCCCAAAGGAATCCACAAGATACTGGTTTCAGAAAGAGTACAGAGCTCAATGGCTCTTCAGAAGTCCCCAGACCTCCAGCAAAAAGGGCACCCCCTTGCCAGCCGCAGGCACTGTGGGAATGACGAGCTTCAGGTGTATTCCCTTCCACTGAGATCCTGACCCAAGCCATTGTCCTCACATGTAGGAAATGCCAGTCACTTAGTACAGGTTCCATCACACTGCGACCTCCATATACAAACAAATATTTCTGATTCTGATATGTCACTTCTGTTGTTGAATGTCGCCAACGTGACAAAGTGGAATCTTCTGAGCCAGTCTTTGTTACTGTCACTTTCAGGTCCTCAGTGCTACTATCTTCTCTCTTACAAAAACACAGTTGGAGAATTCCCAAAGCTGGAGTCACTGGAGACAGTCTCCCTCCCAGAACCAGAGCCTGTGTGTCTGAAAGTCTTGTCACAGTGTGATAAAGGCGTCCATCCCACTTAGGTCCAGTCCCCCAATTGCTTATTTGGCTGCCTTTCCACCCAAAGTCACCATCTCTTAAGAGTAAGTGAAACTTGCTTACTCGGCAGTGCTTCCTCTCTTGCTCTCCAAAGCCGCCTACACTGAGAATAATGCCAGGGCTCAAGAGGGTAGAGGCATGGCCATATCTCTTAAGGTTAGGCCCTTGGCTGTCACTCATGGTTACACTGGCAGGGAAGACCCCTGAAGGGGAAACAGGATCTACCCAAGGAAACGCCTCTGTGGGTGGAAACACCAGAGTTTGGGCGAGGGTTTCTCCCTTAGACGCAGCCAGAATGAAATAGTGGGCACACTTCAGATGCCACTCCTCAAATTCATCAAAGGGTTCAAGATTTTCTATCCGCTGGCGTTCTTCTTTGGGGAGAAAGCGATGGTAGAATTCATTCATGTCCATGGCAGTGCAAGCTGTCCAGCCAGCTTGAAGGAAGCGGCACCGCTGAGCTTCCACGTTGGGAAAGCTGTCCAGGCCCTGCAATGGAGAATTCAGCTGCTGAAAATGTTGCTGCATGAACTGGCCAAAGGCGTCACATGGCTTCATCTGCTCGTAGATCACGAAAAGGGCATCAGGAAAACGCCGGGCTGCCCAAGTGATGAGGGCTGCTGCGCTCTCGGGCTTGAGATAGGTTAGCACGGCCTCTGCTAGGAATAAGGTGGGTGCGGCCGTGTCGAGGCCCGCAGCAGCCAGGGCCTCCTCCAGTCGTTGGAGCTGCCGCAGGTCTATGCCCAGGATGCGGTAGTCCAAACTCTCAAAGAGCAGCGTTGATGCAGGGACCTCCTTCTGGAAAGGGCCGGTTAACGCGCACAATTCTGGCGTATCTCGAATCCTTTCTGCTTTGCGCCGAGCTACTTCGGGGAAATCCACCTCCCAAACTGCAGCCCGGACTAGATGACCTGCAGTTTTGAGGCAAAAATACAGCGAGTCGGAGCCTGCGCCTAAGGACACTATCTGAGCCGGCAGCGCCTCGGCTACCGCGCACGCCTGCTCCAAGAAGGCGCACACACAGTGCCTCACAGCGCGTGCGCGAACATAGTACCCGCGGTGGATGAGCGGCGTTCGGCGGACGGTACGGGGAACTAGCAACGCAGCAAAAGTGTCGTGGACGTACCCGCGCGCGGCTAGGGAACTTTTGCTGAGGGCACTGCTGTCGTTGGTGTTCTGCACTGCTCCCGCTCGACGCTCGCGGCTTCGTGGGCCCATAGCCAGGAGACACTCAGGAACGCAGGCCCGTGACGGCTACAAGCAGCTTTTTCATTCGTATGGCTCCACCTCGCGGACCTCTACACGCAAAAACCACAGCTCTTCCGTGACTTCCCATTCCGCGGACAAAGAGTGCGTCACTTCCGGGAAGAGCGCACTTCCGTCAGTCAGAATTGAGTCCTGTTCTGAAATACGACCGGGATAGGAACGTTCTGAGCCTCTCGGAAACTATATTTCCCTGGGGGAACACCTTGCTACCAATTACTGTGGGCACGTAACTGTGTTAGGGGCGCGCACGTTGTCATTTTTTTTTTTTAAACAACATTTTCAGCTTGAAAAGAAAACTAAATCTGGGTCCTCATAGTTGAGTTAACTGCTGAGAAATTTTTAAGAGGTAAGTCAACGGGTACTGACGACCTGGCCTCGGATACATTCTGAGAGTCGGAAAGGGCAAAGCAGAGTCAGCACCAGGTCGCTATTGAGAAAGGGTTATTCCTCGGATGCTAACGTTGCTGCTGTTAAGTTAGAGTCCTGGTGTGACGCTGTGGGTTAATGCGCTGGATTGCAAAGTCGATTTGAACCACAAGATCGATTATTCAAGTTCACCAGCTGTTGGAAACCCTATAGATTGACGTTATGGGATGGAATCGACTTTATTGTTGTTAACCCATATAGGGTTTCCAGGGAACGACTGGTGAGTTTGAACTGTCAACCTTGTGGTTAGCAGTCGGATGCTCCTCCAACAGCGCCACACCAGGACTCTGATTCTAAAGTAATATTGAAAATTATCGGTGAAAAGGAGAGTCATGAATACTCATTCATGGCTTTCTGACTTTTGGGATCCGCATCTCTAAAATAAGACAAATTGTTGCTTTGTGTGGTATCCCAAGCTTGTTTGCGGACCAGAGAAAGTGGGGGGGGGGGAGGAGGGAAGATCACTGTAATAGGTTTTTGGTGAATGAATGTAAGTTTTATTGTGTATATTGCCACCCCCAATTTTTTTTCCCCACCATGGAAAATACATTTTTATTTTTTTTTAAAGTTTTTATTGTGAATTGAGTGAAATTTACAGGGCAGATCATCAGTTTTACATTCAACAAATCATATACTTTGTTTCATTACAATGATTATAATCCCCTTCATGTACCATCAGTTAACAGTATTTTTCTCTATTCGTTTTAGCTCTTTAAAAAACAACAACAAAAAAACACTCAGGCATTTATAATAATTTACACCACCAAGGGGCACATTCTGCAAGTCAGCCTCCTGACCGCCAGTACCCAGTCCCTCTCTTTCCATGAGTCCAGAGTCCTCAGCTGCTCCCTCTCTCCATGTCCCCATCTCTGCCTTCATCTCTGGTGTCGCTGCTTCTCTGGATAGGGTCCTGCATTCTGCTTGTGCTCTTCTCCCTTGATGGTCCTAGGGTCCTCTGTTTCTGGACTGTAAAATTAACTACTCCCCTGTTTTTGTTAACAAAACTTATACCTTTACAATTGTGACAGTCGCAGTTAGCCATGATAACAGTTACTTGCTATTGAATCTTAATCTAATCCCCTTCTCTTTTTACCAGACCCATCTAGACAAGATGAAAACTATTCAGTGTGGACTTTGTTTTCTCCCCGCACTGTGTGTGTTTTGTTTTGTTTTTTTCTTGTTAAGAGTTGTCAACTTTATATTTAAAACACATTTCACTAACACAAGAATAAGGTACATTTTGGATTGTTCAATAAGTCAAAAGAGAAAACAAATCAATACATTCTTTTCAAACCAAAAATGCGTGTTTTCATTACCGAGAAAAGTCAAAAATGAAATTCTATTAACAATAGCAGTAGCACCTCACTTTAATTCATGGGTGATCTTTTTTTTTTAAGTAGATATATGTTGTTGTTGTTGTTGTTAAGTGCCGTCGAGTTGGTTCCGACTCACAGCGAGCCTGTATAGGGTTTCTGAGGAGCATCTGGTGAACCTGAACCACCGACCCTGTGGTTCAAACCAATTTTGCGACCCAGCACATTAGCCCACAGTGCCACACCAGGACTCCATGCATCAGTATAGAGCTAAGGAAATGTCAAATTGTTTTGGAGAATGTAGATAACCTTTTGTGTGTTTTCTAAGGGGGGGAAAAAGTTGGGGTAAAGGTAAAGTTTCTAACTTGGGTGTCTAGGAGTCAACACCAGGAAACATTCTAGAATTCTAGGTTTTGGGAGGTTTATTCATTGAATTTTGTTGAGTGACTAACTATGGGGACTGAGATAAAGAAGGAAGTCAGAATGGTTTTAGTTGTGGTTAACTTGAAGCAGTGTTGCATAATGATTGAGTGCATGAGTTTGGAGTCCAGATGATTTGGATTTGGATACTAATGCTCAAGGAAAAGTTTGGGTGACAGTGAAAGTTTGATCACTGAAAGATGCCATTTAGATTTCATTAATGTCATTTAGAATTAATTAATGGCTTTATGAATTGGAGAACAATTTCTGTGGAGCAATATAAGCAGAATGCATGTTTCAGTGAAGAGGAGGTAAATTAATGGAGACATCCAGTGTATATTTGAAGGAGCTAAACTCAGAAAGAAAAGAGTCAGGAGTTACTAAAGAGAAATGCAGAACAAAGGAAGAGTTTTGTATTTTATTTCCAGTTAAAATCAAATATTGTGCATGCATATAGGGAAATCAGCAGTGAAAATAACTAGTGAAGGAATGGGATCCTGGACATAGTCTCCGAGTTAGGGGAATGAAGCCATGGTGTTCCAGGATAATGTGCTAGACTGCAGAGTTGGTTTAAACTGCAAGGTTGATAGTTCAGACTCACCAGTTCCTTGGAAACCCTATACAGGGTCACTATGAGTTGGAACCGACTCAACAGCACAACAACAATATGAAGAAAACAAGTATGTGGATTAAGATACATTTATATGTTTGGGGATGGCAGAGAGAAGTAGAGGACATTTATGTCTGCTAGCAGCAGGGTTGTTTCTTCAGTGTAAGAAGGTTCTGTCTGGTGGAAGGCTGAAGAGTTTGGAATGGCCTCTGAAAGGAGTGGAAGAAGGACGCACCTAAGCTTTGGGATCCAAAGGACTGCTATCCAGGGGCTTTGTGATCTTGCATGACAGTGCATGTCCCTACACCTCTGCCCACACTGTTAACATTTTGCAAAAACTTCTTTTTGAGGTGTTAAAGCATCTTCCCTATAGCAAGATTAGGATCTTGCTCCATCAGACTTTCACCTGTTTGGTCCCCTGAAAGCAGCCCTTCAAACAAAGATTCACCCCAGTGAAGAAATGAAGACTGGTACATTCATGACTCGCAGCTCAGTCTAAAATAAAATAATAAGGGAATATAAAAGCTTGTTGACAGAGTGTATTGAAATGCAAAGAGATTATGTCGAAAAATGATGTACTTGTCTTTTCTAAAAGTTTATTAAAATAAATTTTACAGCCTGAGTACGGATAATTTTTGACTCACCCACGTATATAGTACAGAGATGAAGAAAGACCAGTAAATCAGTGATTGACATACAATATTACAAAGCACTGTCTTAGAGATAGACACTGGATCATATGGAATCATAATAGAGGGGCATATAAATGATTTTTTTTTCATCCTCTCAGGTACTTTGCATTTTTATCAAATAAGGAAACTGAAGCCATAAGGTAAAGTAACTACAGCCACACAGCTGCTTAAACAACAGAACTGGCAAGAGGAGGAACCATATCCGTTTGTCTCAACTGCTGTGTTCATCTTTAGCATATTATTAATAGTTCAAAAATATGTTTGTTTGTTTGTTTTTAATCCAAAATAGGCTTGATATAATTTCTAGTTTTTAAAGTTAAAAAATTCAAATTTCACAGTAAGTGCCAATAGGGAAAAATAGACCGTACTGAAATTTAGGTTGGAATCCACCGAATCCACCTCTTACAAGTTTGAGTTTTTCTGTTTCTAGCCAGAATCCTTGTGTGGTGCTGTAGAATAAGTACTTGACTGCTAGTCATGAGCTTGGCATTTCAAACTCACCAACCACTCCTCGGAAACCCTATATAGGGTTGCTATGAGTTGGAAATGACTTGACAGCACTTAAAAACTGACATTTCTAGTTCACATTGTTTATTAATCATTTCTCTACCTCTGGCACACTTGTTAGTTTGGGGGGTTGGGGGGTTTCTAGCTTTTAAAGAATAAATTAGCAAAATTCTGTTTCTTTGCTTTTATCTGGAAATGTTCACAATTGTTAACATAGATAAATAAATCTGAGCCTGTAGCTGCATCTACAACTGCCCTTAACAAAATGTGTGAAAGTAAAGCAATTGGAAGGAAATTTAGAACCCCAGAACTTGCTGACTGAAATGCATTGTATTGTTTAGAGAAGGACTTTTGTTTTCCTGCTAAATCATAATGGAAGTAGAAGAACGGCAACAAGCATGGAAGAAGAAATTTTACTTGGAATTACCAAAAGTGGTGAGAATTCAATCACACAATTTTTGAGTGGTTGCTAATTATAATGACTTTTCTGTTGTTTCTTTTTATAGAAAAGTCAATAATAGAATTTGTAAATAGAGTTTAAATTTAGAGTAAAACTTTTAAACAGTAAGAACTTTTAAATTTAGAGTACAGTTTTAAGTTTTAAAAAATTTCAAGTAAAAGCTTTATAAGTTGTATAACTAAATCTAATGGGCAGCTTGCCTAGTATAAACTTAAGCGTAAAAACTTAAATTTAGAGTTTTAGGTTAAATTTAAGTTTGAACCTGGTATGATGCTATGAAGCAATGGATATTTGATAATTATTTGCTGATTGTATACTCATAGGAACTTCATGCCCACTTGAATGGATCTATGAGTTCTAAAACCATGAGGAAATTAATAGCCAAGAAGCCAGATCTTAAAATAAATGATCAAATGACCGTGATTGACAAGGGAAAGAAGAGAACGTTAGTAGAGTAAGTTTGGGGAGGTTATACTTTTTTTTGTTTTCAACTTTTTATTGTGAATTGAGTGAAGGTTCACAGAGCAGATCATCAGTTTTACATTCAACAAACCATACACTTTGGTTCACTATATGGTTGTAATCCCCTCCATGTACCAACAGTTAATAGCATCTACCGCTATTCACTTTACTGCATTTCTCCTTGTATTTCCCACTACCTTCATCTTCCTTTGCTAACCTCCTTCTTGTTGTATATTGTCTGCTCTGCCACCTGTGTTAACTTGTGTCTACCCTCTAGCCCATGAATAATTTTCCTTCCCACTCCTCTCCTGTAACTATCATAGATTATTTCTTTTACCAAGAAAACCTTTTCTTAACTTTTTAGAGCACTGGCCTAAACACAGGAGCTCTGGTAGCATAGTGGTTACGAATCGGGCTGTGAACCACAAGGTTAGCAGTTCGAAACTACCAACGGTTCTGCGGGCTGTGAACCACAAGGTTAGCAGTTCGAAACTACCAACGGTTCTGTGGGATAACGATGAGTCATTCTGCTCCCGTAAAGATTTAAAGCCTCGGAAACCCTGTACAGGGTCGCTATGTGTCGGAACCGACTCCACGGCACACAACAACAAGTCTCATACAATGTTTGCCCTTCTGTGATTGACTAATTTCACTCAACATAATGTCCTCCAGGTTCAACTATGTTGTGAGTTATTTCACAGATTCATCCTCAACATTTTGTAGTATTAATGTGTGTATACGCACCAGAGTTTAACCATTCTTCTGTAGAAGGGCATTTAGGCTGTCTCCATCTGATATATAACTTGTAGACAGCATATTGAAGGATCCTGTTTTCTTACTCATTTTGCTCTTTATGTCTCTTGACTGGTACATTGAATCCATTTACATTTAGTGTAATTATCATTAGGTATGAATTGATTGTGTGGGTTGTTGTTGTTTTGTGTATGTGTTGTTTTTTTGTGTATGCTGCTGGATTCTTTGTTCCCTATAACTTCCTATGCTAAGTTCATTTTGTTTGAAGGTTTTCTTGTCATTCTAATTTCTGTTGTGTTAATGTTTAATAAATAGTTTTTATTTCCCTTTTTAAATTTTCATGTACAGATATATTTTTTTCCTTGAGGTTACCCTGTAATGTATTAGTTTTTCCCTACTTAAAAGTCTTTTATCTTGAAATCTATTTGACTTCCTTGCCATTTGGAAGTCTGTATCTACACTGTTCTTTCTTTTTGCTTTGTGGTTGACTTCTTTATACAATGATATCTCTGGTTCCCTATTTTCAGCCTTGTAGGTTTATTTTACTTTAAATACTTACATATCTGGATTGAGTTCTGGATGGTGTTGTCATGTATGATAAACTCAGGTTGTTGCCTGCAACTGTTGCTTCTCTGTCCAAAGAACACCCTTTAGTATTCTTTGTAAAGTTGGTCTGGTTGTTACAAATTCCTTTAATTTCTGTCTATCAGGAAATGCCCTAATTTCACTATCATATTTAAGGGATATCTTTGCTGAGTATGAGATTCTTGGTTGGCAGTCTTTCTTTTCAGAATTTTGTATATGTCATTCCATTACCTTCTTTCCTGCATGGTTTCTGCTGAGAAATCCAAGCTTAGTCTTATTGGTTCTCCTGTGTAGGTAACTTTTCATTTTTTCTAAGCTGTTCTCAATATTCTTTCTTTGTCTTTAATTTTGGAAAGTTTGATTGTGATATGTCTTGGTGATTTCATGTTTGGGGTTCGTTCAGCTTTCTGTATGCTTATATTCTCATCTTTCATGATGTTAGGGAAGTTTTCTTCCAACAGCTTTTGGATAATTTTCTCTGTGCCTATCTGTTTTCTGTCTTGGAATTCTAATCACCTGTAAGTTGTTCCTCTTCGTGGTGTCCCACATAACTCTTAGACTTTCTTTGGGTTCTACATTCTTTTTTCTGACTGTTCTTCTAGCAGAGTAGTATCTCTTCAAGCTCACTAATTCAGGCTTTCATTGCTTTATTTCTACTCCTTTGCCTTTTCAATGAATTGTCCTTTTTTTAGATGTTAGTATTAATCTTTGGATTTATAATTGTAGGTTTTATGTTGTTTTAAAATCTGCATTTATTTTGTCTGTTTGTTCTTGTAGTGTTTTCCTGAATTCTTCCGAAGTTTTTATTGTATTCTCCTTGCTTTCCTCAATCTTTCTGTAGATCCTTTGAAGGTACCTAATTATCAGTCTTTCACATTATTTTACAGTTGATTCTATTACCTTTTCTTCCTCAGAAACATCTTCTGGCTCTGCCTCTTGGTCATTTGTTTGAGCCATTCCTTCTTGTTTCTTTGTGTGAGCTAAAATTGTTTGTTGTCTGCAGAGCATTGTGGGGTTGTATTTGTAAAAACAAGTACATTTGTTGGGCCTGAGGGGAGAAATATCTAGAATGCACCTGCAATTCAAGGAACCCACGACATAATTGTGAAAGGGATGTGACAGCAGAGTTCCTGGCCCTAGATAGAATTCCTGTAGGCCTCAGTGTTATCTAGATTGTGGGGGCCCTTTTTGAAGCTGGTTTCCATGTCTGTTGGGACCACAGGGAAGCTGAGGGCAGGGTGACTGGTTAAATGCTGGTCTGGTGACTCTGCGGGTTTTGTAGGTCTTGAGCTGAGCCCACCTGAGTGCAGTCACCAAAGTGGCACACCAGAGTGGCGCAGCTGGCCTTCTCACACTGGTGTGGCTCCTAACCTTGTGGCTCTGAACTCCTGGAGAGTGGGGTCTGCACTGGGGTTGGATGAGGGTGGGAGTTGTCCATACTTCCCGTCATCAGCAGAGCATGGGGAAAAAGAAGAAATCACATCTTTTCTAATGCTTGCTCGAATCTGCTCTGCCAGGTCTTCCTCCACTGCCATAGCAGCTCACAAGATGGTTGAGCTGCATTTGGCCAACTGTTCACCAGTCAGTCTCTCTCTCACCACCCCTACTTAGCCTCTCCTCCTAGCAAGCACTCCATCTGCCTCTCTAACCTTTCTTCTGAAGTTCAGGGGGCCAGAATTTACATCTGTTCCTGTTTTATTTTGACCTTCGTATAAGTGTGTATGCCAACTCTGACCAACTTGCCCAAAGTCTGACCATACTTTTTGAGATCATAAGTAGTGTGTACTGCTGGTGTAATGGGTTATGAGTTTGGCTGCTAACCATAAAGTCAGCAGTTCAAATAATACCAGTCATTCCATGGGAGAAAGATGAGGCTTTCTGCTCCCATAAAGATTTACAGCCTCAGGTCGCTATAAGTTAGAACCGACTCAATAGCTCACCATCACCACCACCACCAAGTAGTATGTAAAAATTCAGATTTTAGTAGTTAAATGAATAGGTAGCCCTCTGGTAAGGAGAGTATAATTTGACATACAGTATATTTTTCCAGTTGTCAAACTATTGGCAATATATTTAATGATTTATATTGTTTGTGAAATTGTACTATATTGGGATAATCTTTAGACTTGAAAATGCAGACTTCTGAATACCCCTCCCCCCATTGTTTGCTGTAACTAGCAAGGAATAGGGAAAGGGCATCTGTTATTTCACACTTACAAATACCCTTAATATTTTCTTTTCAGCTATTTGATGATCTTTCCAGAGCAATGTAATTTTGTGTGTGTGTGTGTGTGTGTGTGTGTGTGTGAGTTTATTGCAGCTTTATTTAAATAACTAAAAACTGGGAACTACCCAAATGTGCTCACAAGAGAATGGCTAGGTAAATTGTCTCATTTTCATATAATGGAATACTGTAAAAAAAAAAGAAAGAAAGGGGTAAAAAACCTACAAACTGCTGATACACATAACATCAAAAGAATATAAATTCAGCTTTTATCGTGTTCTGTTGTTCATCAAGTCAGTTTTGATCTATACTGACCCTATGTACAACTGAACCACACACTGCCTGGTGCTGCGCCATCCTCACAGTTGCTTAGGTGGGAGCCCATTGCTGCTGCCACTGTGCTAATCCATCTCTTTGGGGGTCTCCCTCTTTTTCACTGTTCTTCCACTTTAATAAGCATGATGTCCTTATCCAGGGATTGGTCTCTTCTGATAATATGTCCAAAGTATGAGAGACAAAGTCTGGCAATCTTGGCTTCTAAAGAGCATTCTGATTGTACTTCTTCCAACACAGACTTTGTTATTTGTTCTTCTGGCAGTCATGGTACATTTAATATTTTTCTCCAACACCGTAACTCAAATGCATCAAGTTGTCTACAGTCTTCTGTATTCATTGACCAACTTTCACAAGCATATAAGGTTATTGAAAATACCATGACTTGAGTCAGGCGCACCGTAATCCTCAAACTGATATCTTTGCTCTTGAACGCTTTAAAGAGGTCTTGTACAGCAGATTTGCCTAATGCAGTATAATGTTTGATTCTTGACTGCAGCTTCCATGAGTGTTGATAGTGAATCCAAGCAAAATGAAGTCTAGACAACATCAATCTTTTCACCATTTATCATGACGCTATTTACTGACCAAGTAGTGAGAATTTTTGTTTTCTTTGCATTGAGGTAGAACCCACACTGAAGGCTGTGGTCTTTGATCTTTATCAGTAAGTATTTTAAGTTCTCTTCACTTTCAGCAAGCAGGGTTGTATCATCTGCATATCACAGGTTATTAATGTGTCTTTCTCCAATCCTGATACCTTATTTTTCTTCATATAATCCAGTTTCTCAGATTATTTGCTGAGTATACAGATTGAATAAGTATGGTGAAAGAATACAACCCTGGCACACATCTTTCCTGACTTTAAACCTTTCGGTGTTCCCTTGTTCTGATCTAACAGCTGCCTTTTAGTCTATGTATAGGTCCCTCATGAGCACAATGAAATGTTCTGGAATGCTCATTCTCCACAAGTTGCCCATAGTCTGTAGTGATCCACACAATCCAAAGTATTTACATAGTCAGTAAAGCACAGGTAAACATCTTTCTGGTATTCTCTGCTTTCAGCCAAGATCCATCTGATGTCAGCAGTGATATCCCTCATTCCACGTCCTCGCCTGAATCGGACTTGAACCTCAGGCAGTTCCCTGTCAATGTATTGTTGCAGCCATTTAAAAATTATCTTTTGCAAAATTTTACTTGCATGGGATATTGAAGATAGTGTCCAGTTGTTTCCACATTGCATTGGCTCACTTTGCTTTGAAATAGGCACTCAATCTGGGTCTTTTCCAGTCATTGCCCACGTAGCTATCTTTAAAAAATCTTGACTTAGATGAGTGACTGCCTCCAGTGCTACCTCATTTTGTTAAAAGATTTTAATTTATATTTCATCAATTTCTTGAGCCAAGACAAGCTTGCTCTTGCCAATGCCATCAGTATACATTAGGCTTCTTCCTTCAGTACCATTGGCTCTTGATCATATGCTGCCTCTTGAAATAGTTAAACCAGAGTAATGTAATTTTTAAAAAACTCATTCTGTAGTTCTTTTTAAGTGTATGTTCTTGTGAAGTGCCATTGAGTCGGTTTCGACTCATAGCAACCTAGTATATGGTTTCCAAGGAGCGGCTGGTGGGTTTGAACTACTAGCCTTTTGGTTAGCAGTCCAGTACTTACCCTACACCACTATACCAGGATTCCATTTTAAATATATATTGTTTTTGTTAATTGCTGTCAAGTCGGTTCCGACTCTTAGCAACCCTGTATAGGGTTTTGGAGGAACAGCTGGTTGGTTTGAACTGCCGACCTTGTGGTTTGCACTCTAGTGCTGATCTTATGGCATCACACCAGGAGTCCCTTTTAAGTATAAAGTTACTATTAGTATATAGTTACTATTAATCTAAAAGCTATGTATTAGGTGCACTCTTAGGCAGTAGGCAGCGTGTCAGTCTCATAAAAGCTATGTATTAATTCAGCTCAGTGAATTTCTCTTGAATTCAGCTTTTGATGACTAGGGTATGTTTGAAGTTTTCATTTATGTTGCAGATGTTTCCAGATGTTTCAACTTATTCATCAGCTTACTACTAGCCCTGAAGACATTTTAATGGTGAGATCTTAATGCTATTTTGGGAATGGTTTAAATTTTAATGTATGCCCTTCTATTGTTATATATGATCTTTTGCTTTTATCAGTAATCTGATGAAAAATATTTTCTGCTTTATTTAAGGCATACCTTCTCAAAACCATTGTTAGGTGTTTGCTCATGAACCAAAATGAAAACTAACATCTGTTAAATAGGAAACAATTTGGAGGAGAAAATTTAGTCCTATTTTTCATGGTTGGCATATTATATGAAATATTTGACCACAGGTGGTATGTATTGCATATAAGACTTTCAACTGAATTGGTAGACGTTATAGAGAATGAATAAGTTCAAGAAATGCTTAGAGATTGAGTGACCAATCTTTAGCAAATTGATACAGGAAAATTGTGTCTTTTTTCTGGGAATGAAGGACTGTTGGGTGGCACTTTTCTCTAAAATTCCACGATACTAGAATCTGACATGAAAGACTGGCCTCTATCATTGATCTGACCAGATGTCATTTTGTAAATGGAGAGAAGTAAAATTGGATCAAGAAGAAAGTACAAAGTAAGAAGTATTATTACCTGAGTTTCGGGAGAACACACTAAACCGGTCAAGTAGGAATTTTCTTCCTTGGTCAAGATTGATCCTCATGATAAGCCATGAGTAAATGAATCAATCAACTTTTGGAGAATGATTAACTTTAGTTCATCAAAAGCTAAGTGCCCATAATGTTCTAGGCACTGGGCTAAGGACTATGAGATACACGATAGATCAGCATAGATTCTGATTGTGAAGAATTTATAGTAAGAATGGAGAGACAGGCCCATAAGCAGATAAATGCAGTATAACATTGTAAAATCTGTGTCGGAGACATGCACAGTGATTTATATAGGAACTTAAAGAGGCATTTCTTAATCAGCCACTGAATAGATCTGAAGGTAAGTCAAAAAAGTATTGCTACTAGGTTCCAGTTCATACATTATTGTTGTTGTTAGGTGTCATCAAGTTAAAGTGTGTTTAAACTTGTCCCAGCAACAAGTAGATGGCTGTAGACAAGTTCCCTCAGTAATACTTAATTCCATTGTTGTTGTGAAGTGCTGTGGAGTCAGTTCTGACTCATAACGACCCTGTATAGGGTTTCTGAGGAGAGGCTGGTGAGCCTGGACTACAGACCTTGCAATTGAAATGGCTTTGCAGTCTGGCACATTAACCCCCAGTGCCACACCAGGAGTCCTTAGGTTCATTAGGGTGTCTTACAAAAAAAAAAACTTTTTGTGTGGTGGAAGAAAATGATTTTGAGGTTAGGACTAAAAACACATTTTTAACAAAGCTTAAGTGGACTTCTTCCCAAATCATTGAAGCTTTGCAACAAGTTTACAAGAATGCTGCCTCACTTAAAACAACAGTTTTTAGATGGATGAAGTATTTTAAGGAAGGCTGTGAAGTCCTCAAAGGTGAATTCAAGGCAGAGAGGTCAGTTTAGAAGGTTATGGTAAAACCATTTAAAAAAATCCAATGGTGTTATCTTGGAGATTTTCTCAAAGGACACAACGTTTATATGGTCTTATTATGAAGAAGTTTTCAGAATATTGAAAAATACATTGGTTAAAAAAAAAAGACTAAGAAAGTTGCATTGAGGACTCCCCCCGACAGTGTACTTGTTCATTCTTCAAGGGTGGCAAGGGCTAGCCTACAAGAATTTGGTTGGAAACCTTACCCATTCCACCCTACAAGCCTGATCTTAACCCTTCAGACTGCTTTTTGTTCCCTAAATTGAACATTTAAAAGGAGTCCCTTGAGGATGCTAAAGTATGCTGTTTTAACAGGGTGAAGATCAAACACAGATGTCTTTGGGGAAGGGTTGTTGTTGTAAAGTGCCATAGAGTCGGTTCCAACCCGTAGCAACCCTGTATAAGGGTTTCTGAAGAGCAGCTGGTAAGCTTGAACCTCCAACCTTACGGTTTAAACCAGCTTTGCCGTCTAGCGTATTAAGCCACAGCACTGTACCAGGGAAGAAGGGTCAGAAAGATGGAAATAACACCTTCAGAATTTAAGACCTCAATGGTGGATATGTCGAGAAACAGGAGGGTCACATTTTGATATTTTGTTTAATAGAGGTTTCAAAGGTTTTTATGATTTTGTAGGAATACTTTTTAAGCTACCTGCATACTACTGAATACTACTAGTAATGCTCACCACTGGGGCTCTAGTCTCATTTTTTGTTTTGCAAAACATGAAATTTCACATTCTGAGAGCTTGATACTCTCTGGGTATTATAATACCATGTTCATTATTTCGTTCCTTACAAAGTTGGTGAAAAACTATTAAAATGAGTTATGGAGTTAAAATTCTCTACTTATTTCTACTCTAAAAAACCAAACAAACAACAAAACAAAAAAAACTAAACCCATTGCCTTCAAGTTGATTCTGACTCATAAAGCCCCTGTTATTGTTGTTGTTAAGTGCCATCGAGTTGATTCCAACCCATAGTGATCCTGCATAGGGTTTCCAAGGAGCAGCTGGTGAGCTTGAACTGCCGCTGTAAACTGCTGCTATGATTTTCAAGACTGTAAATCTCTGTGGAAACTGCCTACCTCATCTTGCTTCTGCGAAGCAGCTGGTAGTTACCCACTAACCTTTTAGTTAAAAGCCGAGCCCTTACCCACTGCACCATCAGGACTCTTTAGCAGGTGATTGTTGTTGATAAGTGCCTTCAAATCAGTTCCAACCCGTAATAACCCTGAATAGGGTTTCCTAAAAGCAGCTGGTGAGCTTGAACTGCCAATCTTGCTGTTCAAATGACTTTGCAGTCCAGTGCATTTACCCACAGCATCGTACCAGAAAGTCCACATATGAACCATCTGTGAAGTAAAACAAGAGACTGTTTATTTGTAAGTATGAGGATCACTCAAAACTCCAGATGATTTGGGTGTAAGATTGGATTGTAACTGAAACAATAAATTTCTCAACCGACATTGTTGAGGCCAGACCTGGTATTGCAACAAGTTCACCAAGATAGTGCCATTTTATTGTTGTTGTTAAATGCCGTTGTATAATTCTGACCCATAGTGACTCTGTATAGGGTTTCCAAGGAGCAGCTGGTGAGCTTGAACCACCAACCTTGCAGTTAAAACGACTTTGCAGTCTGGTGCATTAACCCGCAATGCCATTAAGGTTAGGACACCAGGACACCAATAATAAAGATTAATTACAGCAGATTGTCACAGCTTTCCTGGCATACGACTTTTCTAAAATTTGGTCTGTTTAAGATTGATGACAGAGAAGAAAAAATTCTTTCAGCCTTTAGATTTTTTTTATCCTTGTCACTCAGTGATTTTGGGGTTGCCAAAATTTCTGCTACATTGGACACAATTTTACACATCTTTTATCACCTACTTTCTGTGACTAAGAGGAATTTTCCTAAGTGTTCTTTGGAAAGACTTAAACCCTGTCTGAAGAATTTACTGACAATTACAACTTAGTCCTAAACAATTTAATAAGAACCTTCAGCCATGACTCAAAATGGTATATCATTAATGTGTAATTATTTTATAAGCTGTCTGTTTCCATGTGTACCTTATTGTGTACTGCACACACATAGGTTTTTTTTATTTCTATTTTACCTCATTTCTCTGCTTTATAAATCTGTTTTTTGAAAACTAGGAAAGAGAGAAATGGTTAAAAGGAATAAACAAACAGAAGGTGTAAATAATGTGCAGATGTAGGTTTAATGGAAATGAGGGGAGTGATGGGAGCTATTTGAAGTGCTGCAGCTCAGTTAGGTCTCCTCCAGATACATTACAAAGCAAGTAATCTCACCGTGTGGGAGACTTCCAACAGTACTTGCAAATCTTATTTAATGAATGCAGTAAAGCTATAACGCTTTGCACTTTAATTGGGAGCCATACATTATCATCAATGCTGTTTAACCTTTATTGTCAGGTTACAAAAGATGTCATTAAAGAATTTGCAGATGATGGTGTCAAGTACCTGGAACTGAGGAGCACACCCAGAAGAGAAAATGCCACTGGTAGAATTTAATTATTTCTTAGTGAATGCATTATCCCTTTCTCATGTGCTTTGATAATTCATGTGTGTGCAAGTTACGAGTGTGAAGCACTTTACACTCTTGTATTGCTCTCTGTTTTTATGAGTAATTGTAGAGTTAACAATTCAAATTGTTTTTCCTGGAGAAGATATATATTAATGAGTGAGTTATGCTTAACTAAAAAAGTAGAAAAGTCAGGTATATCTGTAAAAGAAGGGAAAAAAAGCCTACAAAATTTTCTTTTGTTCTTCCTTACTTGTTTTGTTCGCTCTGTGCAAAGACCAGTTGCTCCTTATAGTTGAGTTGTTCTCAAGCAGAGGTTTATTCTTGCTCCGTACGTCTAGTGAACTCAAGAGACAATGCCACTGAGTGGGTGCAGAACCAAGGTTTAGAGCAGCCACTAACATAGAAGCTATTCAGTCACTCATTAGGGAACAGTAGTAGTTTCTTAGGCCAGAAGCAAGATATGTTGTGGTAAAACCTCTCAGGATGGAGATGTACAGATCTGATGTAGTCTGGAGAAATTTCTTTTCTTTTTTTTTTTTTTCAAGTTTTTATTGTGAATTGAGTGAAGGTTTATAGGGCACATCATCAGTTTACATTCAACAAATCATATACTTTGTTCGTGTCATTACAATGATTATAATCCCCTCCATGCACCATCAGTTAACAGTATTTCTCTCTATTCATTTTAGCTCTCTCTTTTTAAAAAAACACTCAGGCATATATAATAATTTACACCACCAAAGGGCACATTCTGTAAGTCTGCCTCCTGGCCACCATGATTCTAGAATCCTCAGCTGCTCCCTCTCTCCATGTCCCCATCTCTGCCTCCATCTCTGGTGTCCCTGCTTCCCTGGATGAGGTCCCGCCTTCTGCTTGTACTCTTCTCCCTTGATGGTCCTAGGGTCCTCTGTTTCTGTAAGATTAACCACTCCCCTGTTTTTGTTACAAAATTTCTACATTTATAATTGTGATGTCACAATTAGTCATGATAACAATTATTCACTATTGAATCATAAGAATCTTATCCCCATCTCTTTTCACCAGACCCATCTAGACAAGATGAAAACTATTCAGTGGGGACTCTATCTTCCTTCACACACTCTTAAACTAAATTCCCTCTTGAAACCTTGTAAGCAGTCAGTGTCTTTATCGCCCCTTCATTTTAGGTAGCCATTGTCTAAGTTGCCCGTCCCTATCTACCCTGTTTACCGAGGGGATAGATAGCGTTGATACTTGATGTGAAGACTCCTTCCCTCTCTGTTGGTATTTTGAGCTACTACATCCATGAGTATAGGTCAAGTTCATCAAATTGTAGAAATTTATCATTTCCTTTATCAAAAAAAAATTTTTTTTTTTAATCTTCCTGTAGTCGAGTTCTGATTTTCAAGCCATCAAGGCTAAGTCAGTTGAATACTATCTGCAAGTTTGAGTGTTCTTGTGCCTCTCCCCTCACTTCATATCAGCTGGATGCTTCACTCTCAGCTCTAGCTCTCTGTGGCTATGTCCTTGTCCCTGAGCTCAGGTGTCCGTAGGTCTCACCACACTTTAGACTGCCTAGCCCTTCCTCTTCTCTCTCTCATCTTCAGGTCAACAGGAGAACTATTGGTATACTGATGAGTGTGGTGAAAGGGAAGGACAGAAGAAACCTTCCAATTAATAGAGCTGATTTGCTCTTTTTAAGAATGGATATTCAAAAGGAGGTTGTTAACCTAAGTCTACAACAAATATGGGAATGTTTAAATACAAGTTAACGGAATATTATGCAACCATTAAAAATACTTGCAAGCACACTTTAATGACACAGGAAACTGCTCAGAATATAGTGACAAATGGCTGATGAGAGTACAAATACCCTCTATAACATCTCTTCTATTTAAAATGCATATATGCATATACTTAGAAAAACAAAGACAATAGTTATCTCTAGGCAGTGGTATTACAATTTATTTTTCTCTTTCTCTATAATTTTCTGTGTTTTACTAGCCATTTTTCACCAAAGTAAGCATTTTATAATCAGAAGGGAGGGGTATTTTAGAGAAGGTTGTTGTGGAGAGCCTTTTTCTGAGCCTCCCAGAAGAGGAGAACTTGAACACCAAGCTATAGAGGACATTTCTGGTACCCTAGAAGAAACTCTGCCTCTGAGCAGAATTGAGAAGCAAGGAATCTAAGATGGGATTTTATTTTCTGGACCAGCAGAAAATAACATGCTAATAGAGAAAATACACCCTTTTTTATACATACTTTTTTTTCCCCATTTCATTTTTCAAATACTTACCTTTCTTTGACATTTGTTAGCAAAAATGTAGCTTAACTCATCTTGATGCCCTTGTCACAACATAAAGTGAAAATGTAATTGTTAATATAGGGAGTGTTACTGTGATGCTGTGGGCTAATGCATCAGACTGCAAAGTTGTTTGAACTGCAAGGTTGGTGGTTCAAACTCATCAGCTGCTCCTTGGAAACCCTATACAGGGTTGCTATGGGTCGGAATTGACTCAGTGGCACTTAAGAACAACAACAACGGTGTTAAAGGATCGAGTCATTGATAATCTCCTTACACACATTTTCTGTGTCTCCTTTTCAGGAATGACTAAAAGGACTTATGTGGAATCTATACTTGAGGGCATAAAACAAGCCAAAGAAGAAAACTTAGACATTGATGTTAGGTAAGAAGCATTGCACTAACATTCTTTGTAGGTATCACTTAAAAAATCAGGACATGATATTTTACTGTCTGGATCCCAAGTATAATGGATTTTATAAATCAGCACATAAATGATTTCTTTCTTCCAGTAGAAAAAATAGAATCAAGATCTGTGTTTATCTAATATTGAGAATGTAGTTATGAATTTATTTCTTCAACAAATAAATACTAAGAGAAGGGGAGACTAGCTATAGATTAGAAGAGTTTTAAGAGATACATTGGCCAACACGTGTGTATCTAATTTGAGTCTTAAATCAAGCAAACTGTCAAAGACAAATGAATATCAAAATCAGATGTGAAATCATTTGAAATTTAAATACTGACTAGATATTTGATGCTACTTTAGGAATCTATGTCTCATTCCTCTGGCCATGTAAATTCATGTTGTCTAGGCTTCAGTCAGGCTGTGATTTTTCTAGAAAGATGTATTCCATTTAATCTGTCATGCTTTCTCATCTATTCATTTTCTGCTGTTTTTTTTTTCTGGGTTAAAGGTATTTGATAGCAATCGACAGAAGAGGTGGACCTTTAGTAGCCAAGGAGACTGTTAAACTTGCTAAAGAGTTCTTCCTTTCTAGTGAGGAGACAGTCCTTGGCCTTGACCTCAGTGGAGACCCTACAGTAAGTTATTTTTTCAGAGATATATTTTATTTAAACAGTGGGATTAGCTTGGAGCATCCTGTATTCTCCAGAGGGTATAGCAAAGAAACCCCTTCCTGCCCTGGTCTAGAGCAGCTGTTCTTTTTTTTTTTTAATTTTTTAAAATTTTATTTTAAGCTTTTATTATGAATTATGTGATAGTTTACATGGCAGAACATCAATTTAGCACTCAACCAATCATATTTTGTTTCATTGCAATGATTACGATCCCTTCCATGCACCATTGGTTAACGATATTTGCCCCTCTCTATTCCCTCCTTTTTTTTTTTCTGTTTTCATGTACACAAAACACACAGGAATATATAATCATTTAAACAATCAAAGAGTGCATTTTACAAGCTAGCCTCTTGCCTGCAGACACAAGCCTTTCTCTTTCCATGAGTCCTCAGGTGCTCTCTTCCTCCATGCCATCACTTCTGTCTCTGTCTCAGGTGTTGCTGCTTCTCTGGTGAGGATCCCATGCTCCACTAATGCCCTTCCCTCTTGATTGTCCTAGGGTCCTTTTCTGTTCCTGTAATATAAGATTAACTACTCCCCCTTTTTTGTTACACGTCTTCTACCTTTATAGTTGTGACAATCACTGTTAGTCATAATAACAATTATTATTGAGTCAAAAGAATCCTATACCCATCTCCTTTCACCAGACCCATCTAGACAAGATGAAAACTATTCAGTGGGGATTCTACCCTCCCCCCTCGCTCTGAAACTAAACTCCCTCTTGAAAACTTGTACGCCAGCCACTTTGTGCCTGAATAGCACCCCTATTCTACCCCTGCATTTAATTTTTTTTTATTTTTAAAGGTTTTTATTATGGATTGAGTGAAAGTTTACAGGGCACATCATCAGTTTCACATTCAACCATTCATATAACTTGTTTCATTACATTGATTATAATCCCCTCCATATATCACCAGTTAACAGTGTTTCTCTCTATCCTCTTCAGCTTTTTTTGTGGGGGTGGGGGAAACTTGCCTTTTTGGAATTTACTGTCTCGGATTTTAGGGAAGGTTTTTACATTTATCTGTGGATATCCAGGGCTCATGTATGAGATTACTAACAAGCATAACTGAGTAATCGGATGAGGGACAGTTTGCTATGTCTGTTAGGTGGCTAAAGTCTGATCCTCAGAGCCTATGGTTTGGACGGTCAACAACGCTTGGTGAAGGGCTGACTTTTCATGTCTTGATGGTTCCTAGGTGAACAGCTTGCTTGTTCTTGTGATAACCAGTCTGCTTTTTTCTCTCCTACTGATCATTCAAGAAGTATCTTCTTGAAAGATACTTCCACTAGCTTCTCCATGTTGGTCTGCATGTCCTTTCAAGTGGGAATGTCCCACCGTAGAGGGTTCTGGATGGAGCTCAGGATTTCATCTAAGGGCTCATTCTCTACAAAGGCTCAACAAGAAGCCTATTTCACTCCCTTTAGGTATTCCAATCAGTTATAGGCTATAGAGCAGCTATTCTTAACCTGGGTTCTGAGAGAGCATTAAGTACCCTTTGAAAATACAAACAAACCACACACACACACACCCAAACAGATTTACACAACAATTTTCTGCATTCTTAAAGTATCACACAGCTAGTACCTGTCTACCTATGTTACCTGAAATCAGGGGTGTGCCCTCTGTAACAAAGCCAATTTAGCTATACCAAGTGAGGAGATAGAAGAGAGTTTGTTTATGCATAATCTGGAAAATGGACAGAGTTTTAGTGCTCCCTAAATGTTAGCTTCAAATGTATCTGGCTAACACA